TTCTGTTATCATCTGTAGCTTCTGTTAGCATCTGTTAGCATCTGGTAGCATCTGTAGCGTCTGTTAGCATCTGTAGCTTCTGTTAGCATCTGTAGCTTCTTTCCTGCTCTATGTGCTCACATCATTTAATATCAGCTGAACTCACAGTCAAGCTGCTGTCGTCTCCAGATGTTTCTGTTGTCAGACAGCAGAACCAGGATGAAACAGTGGACCTCCTCCAGACACATCAACCAGCATCATTTCAGCTCAACTCTGACTTTAAAACGGCGTCTGACAGCAAACACAAGATGTCAAAACAACGGCTGGATACAGCTGCATTTACAAACAACTTAAGACTTCTATCACACTCAGAGAAGAATCACACAATAAGGAGAAAATCTAAAAAACTAAAAAATATCCACCGTGTTTCACTGTGTTCAATCCTTATTGATTATTGACTATTGGGTAAACTAGGGATTAGATTGGTGGACTGTGAAGCTTTGTGGCCTCAGTGTGTTTAAATCCAGAGTCACATGTTGAAGCTCAACAAAGTGAAAGCAGTGAGGTGTCTCACCACACATCCTGTCCGTCTGTCCGTCTGTCCCGTCAGTGTCTCGCGTCCTGCAGCTTTCGTCTCATGGCCTTCTTCTTCTCTGCTTCCTGCTTCTGCCGACTCGCTGTGCTGCCGGTTGCTTCAGTTTGCTGCCTGTTGCACAACATGGATTAGGATGTGAGTCACTGTGTGTTTGTGTAGCAGTTCAGGTTCTGCAGGAATTTAACTGTTCAGGCTGCAGTCGCTGACGTGCTGCTGTGGGCGCCGTGCAGGGCGGTCGGCTGCAGCTCATGTTGGCCCTAAAGCAGAGTGAAGATGGAGGTGAGGTGTAGTGGGAGCGTCCCAGTGCGGCCCAGTGCGGCCCAGTGCGGCCCAGAACGCTCTGACTGCTCCTCACCATCACTGCCGAGGCACAGACACACAAAACGACACAACAACAAGACAAACACTGTACCACACACACTACCAACAGCAAAACAGACAGAAAACGTCAGAAAAAGGAGACACAAGCATGAAGCAACAGAAACGAGACACAAAACGACCACAAAGAGACAAAACGGTGCTTCGACAAAGGTTCTCCACAGTCACACAACTTTTACTGGTTCCACACAACAGAACAGCGAGTGAAGGCAGAGAGGCCAGCGTGGAGCTCAGAGGACTACTGCAGAGTACTACAGAGTACTGCAGAGTACTGCGAAATAATACAGAGTACTACAGAGTACTACAGAGTACTGCAGAGTACTGCGAAATAATACAGAGTACTACAGAGTACTGCAGAGTACTGCAGAGTACTGCAGAGTACTGCGAAATAATACAGAGTACTACAGAGTACTGCAGAGTACTGCAGAGTACTGCGAAATAATACAGAGTACTGCAGAGTATTGCAGAGTACTACGGAGTACTACAGAGTACTGCGAAATAATGCAGAGTACTGCAGAGTACTGCAGAGTACTGCGGAGTACTACGGAGTACTGCAGAGTACTACGGAGTACTACGGAGTACTACAGAGTACTGTAGAGTACTACGGAGTACTGCGGAGTACTACAGAGTACTACAGAGTACTACAGAGTACTGCGAAATAATACAGAGTACTACAGAGTACTGCAGAGTACTACGGAGTACTACGGAGTACTGCAGAGTACTACAGAG